GATTATCTTTTAAAAGAGCAGCTCTAACCTGTCTTATAATAGTGCAGATTTCATATTCAGAAACATTATTCTAATGTGATAAATATGATGCTATTAATTTCTATTTGATATCATATAAATTCATAACTGTGTGTATATATATGAATCAGAAAACACTATTAATATCAGTCTGTAGAAAAGCAGAAACTGTATATCTGAGATTATTCATGAATCTGAGTCATAACTCAAAGTATTGAACAGTCTCATTCTTGAACTTTAAAAAATATACTCAATAATAGTGAGTTATATTATAGATAATAAGTATTCAGTATTTGATTCTCTGATAAAAGTCTAAAAGATGATTGAAGAGATCTTTCAATGTACATTAACTGCTCACAAGATTAATATAAATCTTCTCAATGAGTTGAATAGATCTAGATATCAGTGTTGTTGAATAATTTCATGTTATATCTGTCTTGACATATTCTTTATAAAAGAACTTAGTCTTAGAATCTTTAATTATGACTTCAGTATAAGAATTCTTAGTCATAGCAATTATAGTATCAGTGTGAATATGACTGAGATTATAATATTAATTCAAAAGAGTCTTTGATATCTTTATATTCTTGAGATCTATATTTATAACTACAGAATCAATGTTATTAACAGTAGCAGTAGTAGTTATAGAAAAAATAACTTCTCAGTTAAAATTATACTCATGAAGCATTGCAATATACTTAACTGTTTTACTCAGATAATTGAGATTCTCATTGAACTTCTATTCAGTGATCTTATATATATTATTCTAAGCAGTCTGAACTGTATGAAAAATAACATCATTCAGAGCTCTGTAAATGAAAAATGAGAGAATAATGAAAAATAATGTAAATTAAAATCTCTGATCTTCAAGCTTTACAAATGAGAGCAGGCTAACTGTAATATTGAAAATATAGTGAATATTCTGTAAGTTAATATTATCACTCTCAATCTTCAAGATAACAGTTTCAATCTTCTTGATAAACTTAGTTCTCTCAGTTACAGAATTAACAGAGATGTTATTATTAAAAGATTTAATATTTAAAAAGAAATAAAGCTTATCTGTTATATTCAGACTTATACATGTATTTAAATATCAAGATCTAGAGAATAATTTTCTGATAACTGTGAAAGAGAAATAAAACTCAATCTTTATAATTACTGTATTTACTGTTAATTGAGAACTTATTAAGTCATTCTTCTTCTCTTTCTTTTTATCATTATTCTTCTTATTCATCTTCTTTTTTCTTTTATTAGAGTGTAAGATGAAACACCTGTTAACAGTATATTTATATCTTTTATAGTGAGTATACTTTCATATATCTATGTCTTTATTCTTATCTTTATTCTTATTCTTTTTCACAGTTACAGAATTAGTCTGAGACTACTTTTTCTACTTAATAATAATCTTCTTAAATGTATAATTGATCAGTTGCTTCATTAAATTATTAATATTAATATTAATAACAAGTTCTTGATCAGTAAAGAAAAACTCATTCAGATATATCTAGACTCACCGCCGGAATCATGAATTTCACGTTTGATCTCATTTGATCTGGTCTCATACATTTCTTGGCGTGAATCCCGCTGGGACTGGCTATTAAAAAAACATGCAAAGTGACTATATATCAGATCTTAAAATGAAATCATGACTTGAAAAAAATGAGAAAGTGATTTCATTTGATCTCATTTAGTCTCATTCTTGACATAAAGTTACTATTTTTAGACATTTTAAGGTTTTTTTTAGACTATTTTTAATTTTTTAAAAAGTAACACTTTTTGATAATACTTAAATGAGATTTAAAGTCATTTAAAGTAATAAAAATAATTTAAATTGAGAAGTGAAAATCATGATCTCATTTGAAAAATGTGATAAGAGTAGACAGTAAGTCTCACTGAGACAGTATGAAACTACTATCTAATGTTAAAACTGTGTAATGAGATCAGTTGAATTAATAATGAAACTATTAAAAAATCTGATTCTGATCTCAGACACGGTCACATGATCAGTCTAGATATATCTTAATAAATAATCTTTAATAGTCTTATAGATTATTAAGAAAAAGATTATAATATTTATCTTCAGTACTCTGACAGAGCTCTTTATAATAAATAATAAAATAGCAGAAATATCTCTGAAAAATAAGATAATTACTATTCTTAATCTATAATTTTATCAATTTCTTAAAGATATTAACACATTCTTCAGTCAGTGATATTATATATTCAATATTAATCTTATCTTATAAAGTTACAGTATTATCAGCTTCTAAGATTTTAAGAGTGATTTAAATGTTTTCAACAAGACTTAATAGTATATATTTATATAGAGACTTGAAACAGATCTTTCACTTCTTAGAATCAGTATAATATATAAAAGAGAATTTTCACTGAGTTTTTAATAGAATGTCAGTTCTATTAATAACTTTCATGTTAATTAATATATTAATATACTAGACTTTATAATTAGACCTATTGAATATAATCACTGATTTAATATTTAGAGTATATTTAACTTTCTTCTGATATTTCTATAACTCATTTCTTATAGCATCTCTTTATACAGAGATAGATATAGTGAGATATTATATAAATTCAGCTATAGCTAGTTGATTTCAGAGTATTATCTATATCAGATTTATAAAATTATCTACAGTGTAATAGATAGATTAATTCAGATTATTATTAAAAGTTAGCATTTCAAGAATAAGAGATAGTGAAGAATTTATTAAATTAGAATAAATAAATTCTATAGATGAATATTAACTCTTCTTTTCTTTATTCTAAAGCACTTCTATTATCTTATTATTAAATTTCATACTTTAATAAAAACTGATATCAGTCTTATCTTGTAACTCAGAAATCTTCTTATAATAAGTAATTATTCTATTAATAAGTTATTTAGTAAAGTAGATAATTCTGAGTCTTAAACTGAACTTTAAAGTAATAGATATATTACTTATATTAAGATGACTTTACTTCTTTTAAATATATAAAAATAGATGATATTCTTTACAATAGAGAATATATTTTTAAAAAGTATATAAATCTACTAACTGATAGACTGATTATATAACTGTGTCTGAGATCAGAATCAGATTTTTTAATAGTCTTATTATCAATTTAACTGATCTCATTACACAGTTTTAACATTAAATAGTAGTCTTATACTATTTCAGTAAAACTTACTATCTACTCTTATCATATTTTTCAAATAAAATCATGATTTTCACTTCTTAATTTAAATTATTTTTTATTGCTTTAAATAACTTTAAATCTTATTTAAGTATTTATTAAAAAAGTATTACTTTTTTAAAAAATTAAAAATAGTCTAAAAAAAACCTTAAAATGTCTAAGAATAGTAACTTTATACTAAGAATGAACTAAATGAAATTAAATGAGATTATTTTCTTATTTTTTTCAAGTTATAGTTTTATTTTAAGATCTGATATATAGTCACTTTGTATATTTTTTTAATGACTAGTTTCAGCAGGATTCATGCCAAGAAATGTATGAGACCAGATCAAATGAAATTAAATGTGAAATTCATGATTCTGGCGGCCAGTCTACTGACTGATAAATTCAGAAAAAATGAAATATCTCTAGTAAAAAGTAAGAGTCTTCTTAAAAAAGATAAACTACTCTTATCAAAAATGTTGGTGCAATGTTCTAAAAAGAAAAATGTGTCATCCAGGCTATAACCTGTAGAATAGTTGAAGGTTGTATTGATAGATCTATCTACAAGAGCATAATATAGTGGTGGGTCACATGATCTAGTGGGATCGCTAACCGCAACGGCCGTAACGGCCAACAGAAGGGAAGCCGCGCCAAGCCTTGATGACTAATCCAGGCCCCATGCTTCAATTCCGTGCGACACCGCGTCCAAGTCGGGTCCGAACTCCTCGCCCCCATAGACCGTTGGTGGACGGTGGACCTGTACCTGGACGGTGAACCTGTACCTTGGACGGTAGGATTTCTACCGCCCACTGGTTTCATCGCCTGTTGACGCTGATCACTTCATCCGTATGCAGACCTCCGGACGGCCCTCATAGAGGAGTACGCGAACCAGAAAAAGCCCACGGACGGGGAGGTATACCGAAAGATCCGTCAGTATGAGGGGGAGCACAACGAAGTGTTTCGGCAGCGATAGGTTGCACGTTTATCAAAGAGCAATCGAGAGCGCCTTGAGCAGCTGGACAGCCCCAGGAACCGCCAACTCCGTCAGGTGTTTGATGCGTTGCTGGTCATCCCGGGACTCTGGGATGGTGGAATGCGGATCAGTATGGTCCATCGGTTGGTTGCTATCAACTGCATTGAGGTACGTCCCCGTGACCTGGTGGTATCACCTTCTGACATTCGCCAGCATATAGTCGCCTACCTTGGATTCGTGAAGGAGACTTGGTCAGCTTGGGTCAACTATGACGTCGGCGCGATGGAAAAGATAAGCCACGACGATGTGGAGAGACTAGAGTTGATGGCACCCGGCGCATCTCGCGTCGACGCGAAAGCGGCGTGTGGGCTTGTGCTGAGCGGCCAGGCCTTTGCAGGCTTCAGTGAAAGCGAGCGAATGGCCATCTGGACTCAAATGGAAGTGTTCGGTGGACTGGTGCCATCCCTGTACACGTTCTTTGAGGACTTCAAGTACTTGGAAAGCTGCGCCCACTGCGTGAAATGACTCTGCGGGCATCTGGAAAGCTCCATCTGGAGCATCATGCGGCATATGTTCATTACGCCCCCCGAGATGCAGGCGGATTGTCCCATTCAAACATCGGAGTTCACCTTCCGGCAAACGCTCACGGGAAGCAAGGAATGTCTTGATCTGGCATACCGACAGGTCTGGCTGTATGCGATGCCGCACTACCCTTTGATGCCGCCCGATCTAAAGAGTGAAGATGAGCTGTTAGCCAAACCAAACCGTGTCAAAGCTGACGAGCGTGCGGTCTATGAGATGGCTGAACTGGCATATCGGCTGGGATTCCGCTCTCCAGAGATCACAGTGTTGATGAACCAGTCTCCCGACCAGCAAATTGCGCGAGCCGCCCTGTTGCAGGCCAGGAAACCAGCACGCTTCCGATATGCCGCTCGCGTTCTTGATACACTCATTGACCGAATTGTCGACTGCTTCTCAGCTGCAGTCCCTGACCAACCAGACCAGGCGTGTGAGCTCCTCGCTGATAGTACTGTGAAACACCGGGCACGGTGCGGCATACCACGAATGGGAACCCACAAGCAAGATACTTTCTTCCTATTCCTCGATCATTTACATGCTGACGCAGTGCCGGTTGCTGATAACATCACACATTCTTCGTCCGCCGCTGTGTTTATTTGGCCTTCTTTGAAAAGTTTTTGCCATCCCAATCCAATGATGACGATCTCTCCGATGTTCCTATCCCGCCATTGTTCGTTCTAGATGGTAGTTCCGAGCGGGAGCTACTAGGACGAGAGCAGGTTCGGGAACTGGACAGAGAGGAAACAGAACTACGGAGAGCGGAGCGTGGCGTGCAACAGCTAGAAGGTACCCCCCCGGCACCTCTAGACCCACCCGAGCCGGAGCAGATGGCCATGGTGGTCTTGGGTAAGCCGCCAGGGCCAGAATTGTCCTAGGGGCAGCCGCTTGCTGAGCCGGACTCATCCGGTGGACAGCCAGCTATGAGTGATGAGATGAGCGCGGGAACTCCTGATGACGAAGCAGAGACCGGTGTCGAAGATCTACAAATCGATCAGCAACTTGAGACATCGCAACCAGCGGAAGTAGAAGAGGATGTGCTGGAACAAGGTGAAGAGGAACGCCTCCGGCAGGAAGAGCATGACCGCAGGCAGTCATTACTTGCCCGACTTGAGCGTTCTCGCGAAGAACAAGAGAGGCTGGATGAAGAGTGGGAGCAGGAGCGGCTCGAACAGGAGTTGAACCAACCGGCCGGGCCCTGGCCGGAAACCCCTCAGGGACATCCACCAGCAAGGGACCTCTCAGAACGGCCGGTGACCCAGCTAGATCTTGGTAACATATCAATGCCTGATCAGAATGACCGTAGCAGCGATACTCCACCGCCCAGTGGCCGGCCAACAGTAGAAGCCGAAATTCCTTTGCCCCGTAGAGTTAAAATCTCCTTCTGGTCCTTAACGCGTGGCCAGTGGAGACGAACTGAGTGTCTTGAAGTAGATCCCTTGGACCACTCCCCGGTTGAACGAGCTGCATCAGAGAACACATGTAAGAAGTTTTCCTTGTATGATATGAACATACAGAGCCTCAGCCCTGCCCAGTGCTTCCGGGCAGCAACTGCGGACGGAAATAACAGAATTTTCCTGCTCTCCGAGGAGGAGGGAAGGAAGTTAACCGCTGAGGGGAGACTCATCCCTGACAAAAAGCTTCTAGACTCTATACGGGATATTGATCGACTAGCAAAGAAGCGACGTAGATGAGATATTTCTAGCATTACACTCTCAAGTCCGTTGTTTTCACAAATTAAGTTTGGCCACTAAAGAATGTATATTTAGAGAGTCTCTCCTGTCACACTCTTTTGAGAGTCTCCCGGTTGACGGAATGAATAGACCCGATCCGACAGCATGAGGCTGGTGTTCCATCCGGACCGCTCAAGCGGCTGACTCCAGCAGTCTGTCTGATGATAGTTGGCCAATCGCTTCTGCCTTGTGGGCGATCGGTTTCGCTGTGGTTGGCTTGGGGCTGGAGCCACAGCCACGCCAATGGCAGATGGGGCCTTCCTCAACACTGCAGTATGCAGAGATCGCGTGGATGGCCCTGATCTGTCGTTGTAGTTCTACCACTGAAGTGGTTGATGGCAACATCAGGACTGCATCAATCATTATCATTAGCTCAGGTGACACGTACTGCTCCAGTTCACTTCTAACATGCTCATCAACCACCTTTCCAGATAGCTGTCACTCACTGTCAATCACTGGCTGTTCCTGTCAGAACTGATCCAGAATCTCACACTTGAGCAGTGTCCTCGCGCGCTGCTTTGCACTGTGGAGCCAGTGAATGACTTTGTGATGCCTTTGATCCCATCTCTTGTACTCCTCAACCCAGCATCTGTACCTCTTCTCTCATCAGTCATTGACCTCAGCCTTCCGCCGGTACCTCTGTCTGATCCTGCCATGAAGCCAGCTTGCAGCAGAGTCGCGGTGTTTCTTCAGATATTCAACTCTCCAAGAGATCTTCAGAATGTGAGACAGGTTGTTCACTGATCTCAACTGCTTCAGTGTCAGCTTCCATGAACAGCAGAGATCAATGAACCAGCTCATTGAGCACATCATTCTCATTAGCACTTTCTGCAGCTTGAGACCATGGTAGATGCTGAGAACATCAGCAGTGATGTTTCAATTCAGATAGTGTTTGACAAATGTATTAATGCTGACATGCTGGAGCATCAGGTTTTGAAGAAAATCACTTATATCTGCTGTCTGACAATGTCAACATTAACACATCACTTCAGAAGTGATAAGTGAGATAGAGAGAAGAGTGATCAGAAGAATGAGAGAATAGATGAATACTCACAGCTCTTGTTATAAGTCTTCACAGCTCTGTCACAGAGAATATACAGCTTTGTGATCTGATCAAAGCCTGTGATCTCATCACTCTTTCTCATCCAATTTCACAGTGATGATGTGGTCAGTCATCTCTCATATGTAATCCAGACATCATCTCCCTCACAGATCACCATGCAGATGATGAACTTGTCCAGCAAATCATTCTGCAGAGACAGTTCCTGCTGATTGAGCTCATTCAGAATGCCCAGGCTGTACAGCTGCTCCGCGGTTTTGATGCTCAGTGACTTGAACAACTGGATGTGAAACAGCATCCCCAGGAGAAAGACATGTGGACTGAGTACCAGGGTGGGATTGTAGATGATCTCCGGAAGCCAAAATGTGTTACTGAACAGAGAGTTAGTTGGCTCATGAAGGAACAAGGCAGCCATGAAGCATGGGTGAAAACTTACATATCCTTCATGCCCAGGTGTGTCTTGATCAAGTGGGCGGTCAGGCCCACACACAGACATGGTGTGCTGGAATGGGGGTCTCAGACTAGTGTGAGCATGAGGTTGTGACAGCGAAGCTAGATCAAGGCATCTGGCCAGTTGCCTGTAACGCCCGCGAGCTGGGTGTAGATGTACTGTGTGTTCTTTCGATTCATGACGCGGTTATTTTTACTTTCGTGGCAAATATTTAACTTACTTACAGTACATTTTTCTCGTCTACGGTCAGGTTTTGAAAACGGGCACAGAGCAGGAGCGGGACTATAAACATCCACTACTAGGGAAGCAGAACCCATAGATCAACATTGGAGCAGACCCTTTTTTCTCCGTGCATAGATAATTAGACATCAGAATCATATCAGAATCATTAAAGTAAATAGGCCAACAAGTAGTTATTGCAGCACAAAATAAATAAAATCTATTAGACAGATATCAAACCCGTTCCGTACGCCTTGAAAATATCACCGCGCCAAACATTAGAAGCCCATTAAAAAGAAAACAGCATAAGTTACAGTCACTGGCATATTAACCCCCAAAACCAGTGGTCAGATGCATAAACATATATCAGATAAGAAGTAACAGAAGACTTTTCAAGGGAAACCATAACGCGAAACGATTAAGATATTAATTAAGGTTTACTGAGCTGTTCTTTTCGGAAGAACAAGTAAAATCCAGCACTAGAGAAATAATGTTAAAACACACTTACACTAAGTGACCTTGCTTAGGGCCAGAAATGCCCCCGGGGGGGAGGGGGGGCTTACCATATGGCTAATTGACAAAAGAGACATATCCAAAACCAAGCATTCTCAATAGCGCTGATTCCTCCAGATATGTCAGGATGAATATCACCGGGACCAATCTTGTTGGGCGCAAAGGTGCGGGCGCAAATAGTTGCGATGGAACCTAGAACTTGGGCTGCAAGGAGGGTAAAACAGATATGGAGTCGGGTCAACGTTTGTAGAAGGATCATGCCGAATCCAACACCTTGCATCGCGTCAAGAACTCCCAGCCAAAGCCATAGGCTTCTTGATATCAATGCTCCTGAGATATAGCCGCCTGCCCAGGGGACGTGTTGGCCGATGCCACTTGTGCCCCACCATATTTGTGCCCATCGAGGAGCGCCTAAATAAATTGTGAGTGATGGGTTTTAACATGAATTCGTTATAACTGTATCATAGTTATCAACCTACCAAGTCCAATTGCAAAGAGAGGTAATATCCAACTATGATCCTTAGATAGGTAACCCAGGACCGCTGTAGAGACGTTAGTTATGCTTGGCCAGAAGGTAGAAATGAAACCTTACCAAGCAGTACAGCCCACACCACGATGAAAAAGAGCAAGATAAGTAGTACAATATGCCATGGCTTAGCATGCTTGGAACTCCATAGGACTGAGGTACATATATAGATTAGCAAGAGATCACCAACCATGCACAGTGGAAGATGACTTACAGGCCCAGTTTCGACCGTAGGGTGCGCTGAGGAAAAAATTCTGAACGACGACAGTAACGAAAAACCATATCACGATCTTTCGACGGAAGAGGGACTTGTAAAAGGAGGGGACTTTTCCGGGGGTTTGGCGATAGTAATTGGGAAGGCCAAAGAATAGTAACAGCCCGATTGTCCAAAGGAAAAGCCCAATTGGGATTGCAATTGCGCTGCATCTCAGTTAGCAGTGATGCTTTCGAGGAATTCATGCTTTTAAGGGGACCCGATGTGTAAATATGTGATAAGAATAAACTTACGTCAGCTTCCATGAAGACGCGATAGGATCGGCTTCAATAACGCCCTCAGCAATATTTTTCGTCAACGTTGATCCCCAGTACCAAAGGGCAACCACATATATCTGCTGGGTGCCTTGGATGACACAAGCTCGAAAAACCCAGTCTTTAACAGGTGCCCCGCTTTCGTCACCGAAGTTGAGTGCGAAAAAGATAGAACCGCTGGATGATGCCGTAGCGTACAACCCGGATCCGATGTTCCGGATCCAACCCACCCCATTCTCGGTCCCAGCGAAGCGAGCAACCCCAATAAACATGAACGCCAGACCATAAAAGAAGAACGGAAGAGACAGAGGGATAACGGATTTGAACCAGCGGAAAATGAACCACCAGATGATCGAGGTGATGAGATACGTGGTCGCGATGGCATATAGTTTGGTGGCACTCTGGCCGACCTCACCCGTGAGCAACGTGATCTGGTAAGAGTTCGCAGCAATTATTTGACCAAAGGCAAGAAAGAAAGAGTAAGCCGGCCAATCGCCGATTCGAAGCTGCATCCATTTTTCTAGGCCAGTTGGAGGTATGTAGTCGTTACCCAGCAGGAATTCATCGCCGTCCTTCCCATAATCGCTAGCCCGAGACTCGAGATCTTCACCGTACTCAGAGGGAGCCGGGGAAACACCACTCCCGCGTTTGGCACGAAACAATGACGGGGGATTGTCGGAATTGGTATTGCGCCCCAAACGAGCATTTCTAAATCGATTGAACCATTTCTTTTCGCTTTTCACCAAGTAGCCCTCGATGCATAGATCGGTTTCTGAATTTTCGCTATTAAGGTCTTCCAGTTTCTTCTCGAATGCCCTATAAAATTCACCATTGCTGTCGGTGAAGAATGGATCTACTTTCTGCAACTTAAAATCTTTCTTACTACCAACAACAGATCCCAAAGAGAGAACGGAGGTAGAACTGGGGAAGTTTCCAGAGTAAGGCAAGGGACGACTTGGCGGCAGGAAGCCATCTGCAGAGGAGGGCGAGGGCGGTCTTGATGTCCCTGGGGTCCTCTGTTCATTGAAATCGGCATTATGAAAGTTCCGACTTAACAAACCCAATTGGTTTCCTCGACCTGCCTCTGCTTGTTCCCGCGTCAGCGTGTATTCATCATCATCACCAAAATAGTGTGCTGCAGTGTCATCATCGCTCTCCTCGTCGATATCGGCGGTCACAGCCACACCAACGGGCTCCGGTTCGTTTTCAGGTTCGTTCTCCGGTACGCCCACTGGGGCATTATTTTTTCGTAATTTCCGTGGCACGTGAGATTCACCTCCCATATGGCCAGGACCAGACCGCACACCAAGTGAGAGATTCCTGCTGAGACCAGCTGGAATTTCATTATCAGTATCGGGACCAGGGCTGGAGTCCTGGTGGTAAATGACGGTATTTCTTGCTTGTGGCCCAAAAGCGCTCAATCTGTGGCCCGCTGCATAACTATGATTCCGCGACCCTGGCGTAGCGGGGCTCATGCTTCCAGGGCCAAGTGGGGAGCCCGGGATGCCAGGTGTATTGTATCCAGAAGGAGTATGAGGTTGTCCAGTTGACTTGGCAGATTCTTTGTTATGGATCCTAATTGCTGTACTTTGGAGGATTTCGAGGTCTTCCACCCACTGGGCAACAGGAAACCTCTGTGTTGCGGACCTCGCACGCATCATGGCTCTCACCTCAGGTTTCGAATTCAGTGCACTGTCGATCGCCAATTTGAACTGATTAAGGAGATGGCTAGTGGTGGTAGATTCAACGGTATACCACCAACCTGGCATTTGCCCAAGACCACCAACCCTTGCACCGATGCCGAGAGCGCCTTTCCGACCAAACTCGACAGCTACCAATCCGAAAGGCTCATCTCTAGATGGAATCAATGCAAACTCAGCTCCGCTAAAGATATACGGTGGGAGAGCTGTAAATTCAGGTCTAGAGAAAACACGGCCAGGATAAAGCTTCATCATCTTCTCGAGCTTCAAAGCAGCAAATTTTCCATAAAGGTCGATCACTGGCCCGATACATATTAACTGAACATTCTCGCGTGCTTCCAGGACAGCAGGGAAAACATCAGCGATGAGGTCAACCCCTTTCTGCATCGACCAACGCCCGACAAATACTAGCAAATCTGCATCCGGATTTTGGTCCAGACCTGCCCATTCCTGAGCTTGCCTTTTAAGCTCTGCTCGTTTAGCTTCAAATTCTGGGTCGACAGTAATATCAGAGTCTTTGGGCAGCTGTTTGTTCCATTCGCCAGTGTCTGATGGATCGGGATTGGGTAGGTTGCCGACTTTCTTCAGTCCCCAGAAGATCGGATATCGTGCATACGAGCGTTTTCCGTATTTCCTCGAGACGCCCACTGCCCCAAAGCCCTGCTGGTGAACACGTAGATAGCTTGCGCCAGCGTGAAGTAAATTGAACACTTCGCCAAACTGGACATAGCGGGATGCAACATCTAGTGGAAGGTTGAAAACAGCACATACTTCTTCCTTTTCTGTCTGTGTACGCATAGGCCATAGGCCCTGGAATTCAGCGTTGTGCAAGGAAAGACAAGCCGGAATCGTTTGAGGTAGGAGATACAATGGCGCAGCTGAACCGTGATAATCGTTAATATGGTACAAATCAACTGGGAATCTTCTAATCGCCAAAGCAATACACTGGTTCCAGGCAGAGTAGTAAATAGCACTGTCGAGATCATCCATGCGGGCTGGATATGGCTCAGCGGTGGACTGCTGCCGAAAAACAGGTGCGTCGAGAAGAACGTAGGTGATATTGTTAAGAATATGGTATTGAACCTTGACTTCGTACGCATTCCCAAGGATAGTCACTGTCATTGGCTCGGCAACTTGGTCAACTGGGTAATCAACTCCGCCAACGCAGGGGATGACCCAGATCAGGTCCTGATGTCCAAGATTCTCTCCCATTAGCTGAGCCATCACACCCAGACCTCCAATCTTGATTTTGATTTTCCAATCTGGAATGTAATACTCTAGGGTGGCAATTAGAGTGGTACGTCTTTTGCCCGAATGATCGACAAGCGCAGAAGTCGACTGTACAAATTTCGACTTGTTTGCGAGTTTCATTAGCGGTTTCATCGTGTGAGATTCTTCGAGAGCTTGCCTCCGAAATTTCCGTCTGATAGCGAGAGGAACAAATCCCCCCTTATCGCTAATTCCGACCTGATTAAATTTGACCCGGTAAAAGGATTTCATGAACACATAGATACCAATAGCAGAGGTCAAAATAGGTATAACCCAGAGGAGGATGTATAGAATCAATTGGTGGTAATGGTTACCGACAGGGTGCAATTGGAAACGAAGGGTACCGTCGTTCAAGGAAAACAGCCAGGCAAGATGAGGCGCAGGAGGGGGTTGCGTAATGTTTATGATAGTTTTCGCAAGCGAAGATGGCGGTAAGCGATCCAATACAGAATCGCCATCTATGTCACCAAATACAAATGTTTGATCTGGCTTACCATCCGGGTTAATTCCCCAAACATTGACTTGAGCTAATGCAGGCCATTCTGTCATAAATATGAACTTCCATATTCCGTCATCATCCTGCACCATGTGGTTTTTGAGACCAGCGTCATAGCCATATTGGTTATAAGGACCGTTCCAAAAGAGATGCGGAAATCTTCGTGGTTTGCTGCTAGGCCAATCAAGGTCGCCATGTTGGACATGAGAGCTACTCCCAGTCATACGATTCCAGTATTCAATTGAAACATGCTCGCCTTCCCATCTTTGCAGTTTGGTGCCAGACCAATGCTGGCGCTCGAGAGTAGTATTACCGCCCTCGTAAGGTAACCAATCTGAAAATGATGAACCCCAAGTCAAGGAGTACCGATAAAGGTCTGCTCCAGCAGCGTGATGAGTTACATATAGGTTACCTTTGTTGTCCTTATGTAGCAAATTCGATGAATAATTTGCAGCCCGGGTGAAAACCATAGGGTTGTCTGGTTGCCCAATACGGAAAAGGAAATGATCTACCGAAGTCGTATTGGTAAGGCCATCATTGCTGGGGGCATTCGAGATTGTTACCCTGTGTACCCCATTGTAGACACCAACGAGATTGGCAGACCATTTCCATGAATGTGGAACTTCACCGATATATTTCGGAGGTTCGGGGGTCACCGTTGTACACTTGACACTACTTGCGTCAATAGATGGCTTTTTACCATTGTCTGTAGTTGAATTGAACGTAATGCTCCTAGTTACGCCATCGCAGCTCATCGCTTCGGAATAATATAGTTCAATGGGAACTGTTTCATCTTGATCGGGAGAAACTGTCGACTGCAGGCGAGCATCGTGTCCTGGAACGAATTTTGTGACCATAGGTCGTGGTCGAATGAACCTGTCCTTGGGAACGTAGGCTCTGAAATCCCATGGTTTCAACTCGAGGCTATCAAGACACCCATTAAACTCGGCAGATTGATCAAACCCTAGCTTCTTGGGACCTTCTTTCAATGTAAGTTCATCGAAGGGATAGAACAAATTTTTGACAGTGGTACCACTATCAAAGCTAGATATGAGTGCCGTATCATTATCCGAGCAGTCGAACTCATACTTGTGGGTTTTGTTGTAGTTTTGATACACAAGCCAAACTGGGAGATTCCCTTCCCTGCCGAAGTCTTGGACGGCCTCAAAACGACTACGGTGGATGGACCACATTCCAGTTTCCGTTGGTGTATTATTGGAACCGGGGAGGAAAACCTGCCACGTTTGATTTGAAAGGTGCTGAACGAACCACCCATCATTTAGCGTCGGGTAGTGCTCCCTCATTTGATACATGGTTTTCAAAACATTCCGTACTGGGTGTGATGGATCTCTATGGTCGTAGCTCACAGTCTCGTCATGGCAGGCATATTTACCAGACTCAATGGGCCATTGATAGTACTGCTCAGAGCCAAGGCTGTAACAGCCGTGGGTTTGCCAAGCTGTTGCTGGTGACATGGCCTGCCGCCCGAAGATATAATTCCGAGCAGTATTGTCCAAGACGTAGAATGCTTGTTCTTCGCCCCAAAGTAGCAAGGGGATACCAGGTAGGTGAAGCGTGGTAATATAGAAGGCTAATAGCATTCTCTCTGTCCCTTCCCTAATGGTCGGCCAGCGAAAAACATCCTGATTCGTTGCTCCGAACATATGGCGTGGATCAAACTTCCCATTGGCATTGACGAAGTCATTTGTGAGGAGGAACTCGTACCAAGTGTCCACCCAGTTAACGGGGGTATCATATCCGGCAGCAAGGTTACCGTCCATACCAAGGAACCGGGTCAAAGAACGATAGATCGAGTAGTGGAATGCACCAGCATCCAGAGCAGATTTGCCTGGTTCGCGGATGAAATATTTTTCGCTCGAAGTGTTCGTCAGCTTCACGGCGTCCTCCAACGTCTCGGGTAACATGTTCGGTTGACGTCCTCGACCAATATAAATAGATCCAAGAGTATTTCCACCCGTGATTTCACCAGGCAGAAAGAAGTTATGTTTCCCAACACTTTTGGCGCATTCACGATAGTGCTCACTTATATCCGCGAACGCATCGACTGTCGCCTGTAAGGCCTTATCATATCGGAAGCCATCAATATCAAGTTGTCGAATAATCAGGCACGAGTGCCTCATGAGTCGCTGCCTGACAGAAGGAACCCATTCACGTAGACGGTCTTGCACGGAAGCAAATTTTGCAAGCTGGCGCTGCCAATCTGGGTAGACTCCAAAAGCTTCGATATCACCATATTGATCAAAATCACTATCATAGCAGCCCTTCAGTTGGTCTGTGACATCATTGCCAACAGGGTAACCGTTTTCCCAATAAAACCTTGGATAATCGCACGTCTCATTGTAGTTGTTGCCGATATCGAAATCCACATAACGACGATTTGTCTTCCATACTGCCTCATGTTCGTTGACATCAAACGGTGTTGTTGTATTCAAATATCCTTTGAAGCCGATAAGGTCGCCCATTCTATTGCGATTGATCAGTATACCCTGTTTATTTGCGGTAAGAGACAGTAATGCCGATAGCTACTTACGTTGCCAAAGTGTTATCCATAAGGACATACATGCCCCGCTTATGTATTTCTGTAATAGCATATCTGAATTCTTGGATATTACCGTAATGTCGATCGAGAAGGGTAGTGTCAAGCACCGAGTAACCATCCGCGCCCGAAGGCGCGTTCATCAAAATAGTTCCAGCGAGATAGATACCCTTCATGAGCACGCGTTAGCAAATTTTCCAGATTGAGCAAGAAAGGCTGAGACCCAAACACACCTTTATTCCCATACCCTGGAGATAATCTAACGTATCCACCAGACCACTTATGTCGCCCCCGTGACGCATCTGATTCGAGTTCAGATCATGTTCGAAGAACGTGCCGTTAATGTTGTCATTCCTCGGGTCTCCATTCACAAATCGATCGAGGAACAAGCTGTAGAATGGAAAGCGCCAATTCTCCGGCGACGGGAAGTACTCATGATTCTCCCATTCTCCGTAATAGTCTGCGGGATTTGTAGCTGTCTTATTTTCGTTGAGGTTATATCCCTCAAACTCCGGGTCGTATGGCCAACTCGTCGCTCCTGTAGCGAGAAGCGCCAGCGACACTCCCACCAACCACCGCCGCATCATCAATAATGACTAGAAATTATGCCGCTATGTACTTCGAACATAGGCTGCGGCGATACCCAAGGTGTGAAACGAGTGGAATGGTGGTAGGAAAGTGGAAGTATTACCTGACCAATAAACCAATATATTGCATCAAGCTCCTCGCTTCCAGCACTGATATAAAGCTGAGGCTTGAGGATTTAGAACGATAGACTGATTTAAAAAAGAATAAGAAACGACCGTAAATGGTAATGCAACCAAAGTATTAAAGAAACTGTTCATTAGAAAATATCAGGACATGAGAGAAGCAAAGAACAAGAATGTCAAATAAAGAGACAAGGTCGGCCCGGGTAGAATCTACCAAGTAGTAAGTTCTGGGTGGGGGCTGGGGCGAATATGACTTCTTCCGGCTTCAAAAAGAGAAAAAAAGGTCCCACCCGGGTACCCCGGTATCGATGAATTTTCATTCAGCCTCCATTACTCATCGCATTATTGTGGCACTGGCAGACGCTTTGCATCTAGCCAGCTGAAAATGTATGAAGCGAGATTCTAGCTTGGCAGATACATTGCTATTTTCGGTGTCGGACGACTACGCAGCGTAGTCAAAAGTCTCAGATCACAGGGAAAGATACAGGCGCTAGTAATGCATGAGAGGATCATACGCTGCCTGAAATAGTCTCTTAGGGCCATTCGTCCTGAGCGTGACGGGAAAATTTCAGACACGACCTCCCTCGGTCACCGGAAGGAAGAATGCTCTTTCGACATGAAGTAGCAAATCCAAGGAAATATAAAACTAGGTCCTCATCCATTCTCCCAATTCTTTACCTTCTCATCTTCTTCAAGGATTTTTGATTTTGCTTCCCAAGTCGAACACTTGCTATTTTGGCTTGGGCTTACACCGGAGCTTTCTAGGTTTAGTAGAAAACAACATGACTGGTGTTGGGATACAAACATAGTCTCTGCTGGCGATGGTGAAACGAGGTCAAGGCAAGCCCAAGAGCGGAGTTTCCCAGCCAGGAAGAATAATGAACTTCAAAGATCAAGTTTCGCCTTTTTTTTTTTTTTTTTTTTTTTTTTTTTGGATCGCTCTCCTTATTCCATCATTTTCGCCCGCAACTTGTGTGAAGCATCCGCAGGCTGTTCCATGAGATATCACCGATATGCGACATCACGTCTTGACGTCGACCATGCAAGAGTGTATCGAAAACGCCAGCACGAATTCAGGCACCGGTGGGGGGAGTGTTCCCTTGTTTGGTATTCTGTGGCTCAGGAACGGTTGGTATTGGAGCCGAGTTACTGATTGTCCAAGTCAGGCACCAACCAGAGCCGGAAAGCAGGCAAGTCCCGAAGTTGCTATCAGCTCTCTTCGTCCTTGCGGCTCGTTGGATTCAAACGAATAATAATACTGGCAATAATAATGATGATGGGGATATTTAATTTAACAGCCACCGGAATCCTCGAATCCTGGCCGTATCATATCGTGTGTGTCCACGTCGTCGATGTTGTCGACTCGAGGAGGTGGAGTCAAATTTAAGTTGTGCTTGGGTGTGGCAGCGCCAGCCGGGTGTCCGACTTGGGACTAGCTGCATCTCGCCCAGCCTTGGCGCTTGAGCCGCAGTCGACGAGCCATGATTATTCTTATTATTGTCCATTTTCCAGTTGCATCCGACAAAAGAGAATAACGCGAAAAGAAATAAATACAGATCCCGCTGATGAATTCTTCGGTTTGCTGGAGACTCCCGATGTGGTGCCTTTTGCGCCTCGGAGATGGGTGCTGACAAGCCTTGGCGAGTCAGCTTTGATGTATTTTCTTTTTTTTTTTTATGCTTTCCATTATTTGAGCGGGATCGCTTGAACAAATCCTAAAAATATTATTCTCGAATCCACCGAAGCAGCCATTCATCTGTCATTGGCTGCCGAAGTTCTCGATACGATCCATACCCACAGCCACGTGTAAGCGTATTGGAAAGGTTGTTCTTGGTGAGTAATGTTTCATATTTTTAAGCTTAGCAACTCAGACAACGCAACTGCTGGGAACCTAGGCTGCTATGCTGTCGCCAGTTTCGGAACTGAGGGGGAGCACATCCTTCGGGGTTCAGGGCCTGTTAATAATATGGGATAAACGGTGATAAAGATGATTTTTCTTTTTCTTTTTCTTTTCTTTTCTTTTTCTTTTCTTTTCTTTTTCTTTTCTTTTCTTTTTGATTTGCTTTTTGAGGGCTGGTGAGGGCTGGTGGGGGCTGGTGGGGCCGGTGGACGTAAAGCTGGATAGCTGTATTTGACGGAAGAGAACTTCAAATGGATATTTGGTATTACTATGATTTGATCCCTGGATCGCACCCATCCCTGGCATGGTTCTCCTTGAAACACAGCCGTTACTTATCCTCTTATTCAACACGAGTATGACAAGGCACAGCAACTGTCGTGGTCTTCAAGATATGTGGGTGTATTCATCCTCGCTAGAACAAAGTGCATGTTTGAACGAAGGAATTTCGACCGAAAACTCTTCTGGCATTTTTGTCCTGGCAACATTCATCAATGGGTATCCAAGAGGACAATGTCAGAAGGCCAAGCTTTGAAGATGAAGACACTTTCTATCCAGGCGAAACATGCAACTCATTGCAAGAGACAACTGGATGGGATGTCATCCTCTTTTGCACGTTCCTTTCCTTTCTCTTTTCTTCTTCTTTCCATCGTTGTTTTTGGATCGCCACCTTTCGCTTCTGGTTTGTTGAGACATATTCCGAGAAAAGTGAAAAGTGGAGCTTGGATATCGAATAGGCGCACTCTGATAACGACTTCGCCAATTATGCTGCAGAGGAGTCTTTGAGCTGAGCAGTGGGGCTCGGCGTAACCCAGCTCCAAGCCCTTCAAGAACTAGTTGTCGGTCGAAAGGCCAAGGGGCATTCAAGGTCAATCAGAAATGCAAGAACTGACACACACCCCAACTCAAACCAGGTCTAGATCAAACCGGAACGGACCAGAAAACTGGAGACTTCATGCCATCGTATCATCCATCTTGAGTTGGCGTGGATGAATAATAAATAATAATGAGAATAAATAATATGACGGGCCCCCGAAAGAGTCCACGAAGAGTAAAATGAATAGTTAATCTTGACAAATCTGCCTCGTAATTATTACCAACCCCTATGAGACCAAAGTCCGACTGCCGAGAGATGCTTGAGAGGCCATCTGGTCGGAAAATTTGCTCAAGAGCGCCCGATCCCAACCATCAGGATTCAGCCCAGATTAGCGCCGGCACCGTGGCCATTATTAAACAGAGCCTCGATTTCTGGATCGCGCCCTACCGATGCGACCATCGATCGTTGCTTCAAGCAACGGCCAGCAAGCATGCCATCGTCATTGGCTTCCGTAGCCAGATTGTGGCCCGTGTGGGCTGAGAGTGTCCCGAAATCTGAAGGAGGAGCCAAAAGCCCATTATTATTATTAATAACAAACTAAGCACGGGGAACAGGGTTTGGTAAGATCCTGTCGAAGCTACGAAACAAGACCACAGAGAAGTCATGGATATGTGGGGGGCGTTCCACTTCGCTCTGGTTGTTCCTCACTCCGTATCGGATGATAGTTCGTTTAAAATATTTACTGAGACAAATGATGACACCTGAAAAACTGAACAACGGTGAAGAAAAAAAAGGGAAAAAAAAAAAAAAAAAAACAAACTATGAATATCTAACAGCTTCGCCACATGGCACATGTTACCTGTTGTACCTACCTAGGTGATTTTAAGTGCGTTTACTTGCCTGATGCCCTTGTTTCCATCTTTGGCTTTTGAATCTACAGATCATCTCACAGGGCTCCCGAAGAGACAGGTGGATGACGAGCAGAGAATAGACATGGTACTGTACTCCGCACTCCAAGAGATCGCAGGCGTGGAGACCTAAGTTATGGAAATTACAAAATAGTAAACATAATTTTAGAATTTCTACGTGGTTGACCGCAAGAGTCATGTCAACATCTAAATCAACAGCGTCATCCATGTTCAGGCAACTATTTTAACGCGCTCCACTCTGCATTGTGATCCTTGCGACGGCCGCTTACGCATACGCAGTAGTAAGGCTTACTGCGGACACAGTACTCCGTACGCACGCTGCCTATCTCGGGAGATCACTCAGATCAGATCGTCCTGGTAGGCTTGTCGTCCGCCCAGCTTCACCTACGCTGTACTGTGTGGATCACATACTATTATTATTATGATACTAAGCGACAAATCCTTCGAATAACCAGCTATCCCAAACAAACGTGCATGTTTCTTTCAAATAATAATACTATCCGGCTGGCAGCGAATATTACATACAACCAGTCATCTCCAATTGGACTAATTCATCAGCTTGCTAGAAGGATCAGAACTCATGTCCAGGACCAGCATCGGGCGTAATAATAACTAATGACAGATGCAGAGCAATTCTATGGAAGCGCCGATTATTCCATGTCTGATATTTTGACTTGAACCGGCCCAAGCAACCCCTACCACGTCTTCAGCTGACATACAGAATCTAGAAAGGAAGGGCATAGGGATATCCAAATCCAGACACAGCTTGACCTATTAATACCATCGGCTTTCTATTCTTTCCAATATCGAAATGCCAACATGCACACCCAATCGTTGCAGATGCTACCTATACTGTTGCTAAATCTAGTCGGCGGAGTGGTGTGGGGAATGTGTGATGATCTACTGCGCAGAGCTTAAATAAACGTACATTACAAATGATACTCTCTTTGCAGGCAACATGGATATGTTCGAACGAGCACAGTTATTAATCCCCGAACCAGGGAGGTTCGGACTCCGGAGTAGATAGAGACCGCGGACGATTATAATGTCCTTCCTTACAAGTGCTCTTCCTTTTCATAGGCGATAGAGGGAAATGAAACGTAAATCTGTTAGATTAGAGGAAAAAAGTAGTCTCCTTAAGAAATGGAATTATTTTTCTCCCCTTTCAGCCGGTTTGAAATCTAGCGTTGTTAAAGTCAGGCCAGGGGGTTAGGTTAGCCTATGTAGGAGTAAGGGAAATTAAGGGGGAGTAGTTGGGGCACTGTCTGCATAAACAGCTATAAAGAGGGAGAGCAGTGGTGTGCACAAGAATGGGGATGGATACATCTACAGGCATTCACAAAAGGGATCGAAATTTTCATTCAACTAGCTATAAAACCTAGCCCGGTGAAGGGCTTCAATCGAAGTCCCTTTTTCTTAGCTTTTTCCTTCTAAAGAGCATGCATGGACTGAGCCGAAAGTGAAAAGTAAATATTAAACAACGGATAAGCGAACTATAATTGTGTTTTGAGAGAAAGAGCAGAAGAAAAAAATGGTATCTCAGCAAGGAAAAAACAGATAGATCTGATCAAATATAGAATTAATCTCCCTTTCCAGCATTAGATGCGCTTGTCCTTTTCAAAAAAGAAACCTACGAAACTCCATTCCCGACAATCAAAATTCTCCTCACCACTCCAATGGTTCCCCCTTTACTTCACCCCTATTCGTTTTCGGAACAGCGGCAGCTGAAACCATTACTGGGCCTTTCTTCCCATTGCCGCGTTTCAGATATCCCGTGCCGTCCAGCCATGGCGTCTCCAACGAGCGAACAGCCTCGAACTGCTTAATCTTCTGCTCCATCTGCATCGTGAGTCCAATGTCATCCAGACCATTGACAAGGCAATGTTTCCTGAATTGCTCAACGTCGAAGTCCGCCAGCTTGTTTCCTGAGGCGTCGTTGACACGTTGGTTGGGGAGATCGATTTCCAACTCATTCCCAGCACGAGCTTCCGCGAAGATATTCTGGTATGCAGTGCTATCGGTGATGATGATGGGCAACATGCCATTCTTGAATGTGTTGTTGAAGAATATGTCTGCGTATGAAGGAGCGATTATACATTTTATGCCGAAATCGAGGAGAGCCCATGGAGCGTGTTCTCGGGAGCTACCGCAGCCAAAGTTCACGCCTGTTACGAGGACTTTGGCGTTGCGGTATGGTTCTTGGTTGAGGATGAAATCTGGTTTCTCAGAACCGTCTTCAGCGAATCTCAAGGAGTAGAAAAGGGCGCTTCCTAGACCGGTGCGCTTGATGGTTTTGAGGAATTGTTTGGGGATGATGGCATCTGTGTCCACATTCGCACGGTCTAGTGGTGCTGCAATGCCTTTAAGCGTCGTGAACTTTGGCAGACCAGCTGACGTATGGGGTGTAGAGCTATTAGTGTGCGGTTCATTGTCTTCAGGGAAGTCGAGGATGCGTTCCAGGTCATCTTCGGTATCGATTTCGTCAACGACGGCTTCGACATCAACCTTTGGCGCGACCCTCTTTTGGGTCAGTGGATGGGCAGTTTCGATTTTTCGGACATCAGCAAGCTTGCCGACGATAGCGGCAGCAGCAGCCATTACCGGGGACATGAGATGTGTCCGCCCGTAAGCCCCCTGACGACCTTCGAAGTTTCGGTTAGATGTACTGGCACATCGCTCGCGTGGGGAGAGGATATCTGGGTTCATGCCGAGGCACATAGAACAACCAGCTTCTCTCCATTCAAATCCAGCAGCAGTGAAGATCTTGTCTAGACCCTCAGCTTCTGCTTGTTGCTTGACCAGACCCGATCCCGGGACAATCATCGCCCGTTTGATGTTTGGAGCTACTTTCTTACCCTCAACCACGTGAGCAGCAGCGCGCAGGTCTTCGATGCGGGAGTTGGTACAAGATCCAATGAATACCTTGTCGACGACGATATCTTGCATTGGCGTGCCGGGAGTGAGTCCCATGTATTCCAAAGCGCGCTTTGCGCTCGCCTTCTTATCCTCATCTGTAAAGTCATCTGGCCCGGGGACAACTCCAGTGATTGGTACGACATCCTGCGGGGAGGTACCCCAAGAAACGCTTGGGACGATATCCTTTGTATCGATGAAAACTTCTTTATCATATACAGCACCTTCGTCGGACTTCAGACTCGACCAATACTTCACAGCCTTCTTCCACTCAGGGCTATCGTATTTTGGCGCCAAGGGCCTTCCTTTCAAGTATTCGAATGTAGTCTCGTCTGGTGCAACCATGCCAGCCCTAGCGCCAGCCTCGATACTCATGTTGCAAATAGACATACGCGCCTCCATGCTAAGCCCTCTGATAGCGGAACCGCAAAATTCAATGACAGAGCCATTACCACCAGCAGTTCCAATCACACCAATCACGTGGAGAATAATATCCTTGCTGCTAACACCTGGTAGAAGCTCACCGTCAACTTGAACACGCATGTTCTTGCTGCGCTTGGTGATGAGTGTCTGCGTGGCCAGCACATGTTCGACCTCGCTGGTGCCAATCCCAAATGCCAAGGCGCCAAAAGCGCCATGCGTCGATGTGTGGGAGTCACCGCAGACTACGGTTGTGCCTGGAAGTGTGAACCCCTGTTCCGGACCGATGACGTGCACGATTCCCTGCCTCTTGTCCCCCAAGCCAAAGTATGTGAGCCCGAAATCCTTCACATTCTCCTCCAGGGTCATACATTGCAGCCTCGAGTCCATCTCTTGCACGAAATTCTCGACATTTTTAAACGTCTTGCGAGATGTGGTGGGGATATTCTGTAGAGAGAGAGTTAGACAAGCGTAAAATAAATTTACGAGCCTTGGGAAAATGGTAACGTACATGGTCTACTGTGGCCAAAGTACAATCTGGTCTCCGTACCTTCCGCCCAGCATTCTTAAGCCCCTCAAACGCTTGCTATTCAACGACATAGTTAGATATGTGTACGCTGATTGGGTATAATTAACTTATTACTAGGGAGTAACTTACAGGTGACGTGACTTCGTGGACGAGATGTCTATCTATTGAACTGGTTAACACTTGCGCAGTCCGTGGCAAAGCTCTTCATGCAAAACGGGAGCCAGGCATACCAATATAGAGCAAGATAGTTCCATCCTCCTGCTCATTCACAACATGGTCCTGGAAGACCTTGTCATAGAGAGTCTTAGGTTTCTTCTCTGCGGCAGGCATGATTCCGTCCTCCTGCTGGTTAAAGAGGCGGGCAAGCTAGGTAGCTCAATTGTTCGTTGTCTTTGCGTTTGTAGTGATCGGGAGGATAGATATTGATTAGAGGCAAAGCACAAAAAGATCTCGGTTTGAACAGATGAGAGATGAAGGAGGAATATCAGAACAGAAAGCTGTGTACGGAGTATATAAAGGATGAAGCCGCCTTCAAGTAGCTCCAGAGAGCTTTGCGCCAGAGGGAGGGGTCGGCGCCGATGTCGGCGGTAAGCAGATCAGGAAGCAGCGTGATTGGCCGCGCTGCATGACTCGGTTTGCAGCGGTTATCGGCCCGGGGACGGAGAAATGCCAAGACCTTCGGTCCCTTATCGGAACGCGGAGCCGCAGCGATGACGGCTACACCAACAGGAGGAGTCAATAAATAAGACGAACTACCAGGATATAACAATAATTATTCGACTGTCTAAAACTACTCTATCATATATGTACATGCAATCCCTTCCAGTTAATACAAATCACCGATTGTCTTCCGAAAATACCCATAGCGCAAGCTTGTGCCTGACCAGCAAGCCGGCAACTCCGCAGACAACCTGGACCATTACAATATGTGTGGCAAGCTTGTCTTCTCTCAACGGGCCGAACCATACCAGCCACAGATTTAAAATCGTCAGATTGGTAGACTCGATGATTTCTCTGGCCTCGTTCTTCCGTATTCGCACGAGTCGGAGCTGGTGGAGTAGCTCGAGAGCGGTTGAAACGACAAACATGGGGGGACGCGGCCATTCCGTTACTGAAGGCTCAAGTAATCCCGTGCGCGCGTTGAAACGTGGCAGTCGGTGTCTCGGGCAAGGAATAAGATGGAACAATTGAGGAGTAGAGTAGAGGAAATTAAATATTTGCGGGACGAACAGCAGCAAAAGCGTCTTGCTGAAATGGCCAAGAATGGCCACAACCGCGAATACCATTCCGGCAAAATAGCAGTAGGAATCGCCTACGAAGACTTTGGCCGGATACCAATTATGCAGCCAGAGCGCAAAGGAGACCGCGATAAATGGCAATAGAAGATATATCGAGAAAAGGTGGGAGTCCATGGCTGGATGAGGATAAGGCGTGAAGGGTGTAAGGTACAATGCGTCATTTATAAGTAGCAAGATCGCAATGACTAGAGACTGAGATACCTCAATCCCGTTGATCCCAGCAAGCATGTTGATGCTGTTAGGGCAGAATATGGCAACAGCGGCCATATACACATAATATAACCAACCCAGGTCTATGAATGGGCCGAGATATGGCCGCAATGGAACCGGAACAACCACGAGCGTGACTCCAAAATCAACGAAGTATACTATAAGCATTGGAATTGAAGCGAGCGCAGGGATAAGCACTTTGTGTCTCCATCGGATATCAAGCATGTCGTCCCCGATACCGAGAATCAGGATTGCCTGGAGCGATAAAAGGCCAGAGAGGTAGGACGCAAGCTACACACTCATATAAACATTAGCAAAGATCACAGCGCCACTTTAGGGGACATCCAGATTGTTCTCCTACCTTACTATGAGGGAATCGATGAAGAAAACGTCCCGTTTCGACATGTTGCGCCTCTAACACTACATCTCGATTCCCACCCCCTGAAGTCGCAGCTACAATATCTTTGTAAAATGGGAATGGTATGAAAACTATCAGTAGTAGTATATAAACAACCGCGCAAACAGCTCCCATCGCTTCCGGTCTGTCAAATAAGTAATTGTCAGTGATATTAGCTAGTTTAACACTGGGGACTCCGCCTCCTTCTGATGCAGTCCATACATCTCACTGTGTCGCAACTTCGCCATGTCCCTCCCTTTCAATCCTGCTTTGACAAAAACTTCCCCCAGCCATCGTATTAGACTAAAAGTGGCTGCGAAAGCTATGCCGCTGAGAGCAAGAGACGCGATCAAGGGTTCACCGTCACCCTGGAATGTATTGGTTATGACCCCCAGACAGGCGACAACCAGTGCCAGTAAGCTCCAGGTCTCATTGCGGGTGAGGGTACCCTTCATCTTAAAAAGAAACAGCTAACACGCTCCACGAAATCATGAATAAATCCAAACCGCGCCGGACCGCGGGGAATCCCAAACGCATAATTGAGTTGTAACAAGTAAACAAACCATAACCTTCTGCCACCTGTCATCACGGTGGCCACTTCGTGTGTGGATTCGGTAGAGATGCTTGGACATATTATGCCGCCTGTCACCGCCTTACTAGTGGAATATTTCCACAACAAGGTTATCGTAAGCTTTCCATTCACGTGATATCCAAACGTCATTTATATAGATGGGCGGATGCAGCCGCTGGTCGGCTGAAGATATAGGACGCAGTAACCCGGAGGGACAAGAGGGACAAGAGGGACAATTGCCCACTGCGACTGTGAATATCTGCGATATGACTGCTTTTACTGACTTTGATGCTGGCCACCGCGATCTGGTAACAGTCACGAAGTTCAACTTCTACGGCAACCGCATCCTAACCGCGTCTTCCGATCATCGGATCAAGATCTGGGATCAAAAGGATGAAGGCTGGGAGCTTATAGATACATGGCGCGCCCATGATGCGGAGATTCGCGACGTAAGTTTTGGATTTCTCGTCTGAAAGAAAAGGGAAAAGGAAAGGAAAGCAAGAAAATTTTATTATTTCCTTCCTTCACGGGGGAATGTTAACATGCATCGCAATTTAATGTGTATACATATATATGCACTCAAGCAAAAACTTCTTCGGCTAACTTTCCGCGCATTTTTTCTTTGTTTTCCGTGTTTACAGGCAGCATGGAATGGGCCTTTTACGGGCCAGCATATCGGGAGTGTAGGGGAGGATATGAGGTTCAAGATCTGGCAGGAGGACGTTACCCAGCCTCCAAATTCCGGACGCCGTTTTCGGAATATCTTTCGCCTTACGTCCCCCGTTCGCGCTCCTTATGTCTCGCTCGACTTCCGTAATATTGCCCTCGATTCTTACCTCGCCCTGATCACACGCGATGGACTTCTCACCGTTCTCGAGCCTGTCAGCCCTGATAGTTTGGCAGAATGGCAACAGGTCGATCAGTTCAGGGTCTGCACAGAACCGTCCCGCGGTGAGGAAACCAGCTTCAAAGTACAATTCTACCATGACCCCATGGATATCACGCAAATTATTTTGCCCGGCTGGGATAGCAAGTGCCTGTCCCTCGTCGTCGCGGCCATGGATACCGTGAAAATCTATCGGACAGATGCGAACCGGCGATTTTATCATGCCATAGAGCTTGGAGGGCATGGCGGCTTGGTGCGCGATATATCATGGGCTAACGGTTCCGTGCGCGGTTGCGACTTGATTGCTAGCGGGTCGAAAGACGGCGTGGTGAAAGTATTTGAAGTCTACACGGCCGTGACCAATTCTACAAATAACCCAGCGAACGGTAATAGCCGGCAGGCAGTTGTTTCGTCTCATTCATCTACTAGTCGTGCATCTACTCCGTCAGGTATTGGTACGGCTCTTGCCAACCGCTCACCTGCTCCGCTGATGAATCGACAAGGAGGTGGAGACGCACTTTTTACCCACACATACAAAGAAGTCGCATCCATTAATAGCAAGCATTTGGACGTGTGGCAGGTGGAATTTTCCCAGGCAGGTGAGTGGTATCACCCGTTCCTGTGGTCTGTAAAAAGCCCTACTAGAGTCATGGTCGTACTTTGACCATGTGAAGTGTTCTTCCAACTTCTAACTGATCCAACAGGAGATTGCCTCCTCTCGTCCGGTGATGACGGCGCGGTTCGATTCTGGAAACGGTCCATATCTGGGAAATGGCTAGAGTTTGCAGAAATGAATATGACTGATGAGTACGTTTCCAATATATATATTATTATAAGAATTCGCAAAGCTCATCCTCTGATATTTTATCCAGATGAGGCCCTTGTACCGCAGGGCGTTGAACCTATCAGACAGTAGCCAATCAAACCTGTTCGCCTTACTTTTATCTTTCCCAGGCTTTGGTTATATCTCCTCACATCCAGATTGAGGTTTCCGCTTCACCTTCGTTTTCGCTTTGATTTTCGTTGGGAGTACGAGATCTCTTGGGCATCTGCATCGGCAGCTATTTTACCTTTCTTTCCTTTTTTTTCTCCATAAGATACCCCGTCATATATTCTCTTGTTTTCGTGTCTTGGCTCTCATGCATCATTATGTGCTTTTAAATATAGATATATAATAGAGGGGGAGACAATTCAGCGTCAATCTCACAATAATATATTTTTTCTTTATTCCAGGTGACGGAATGATGAAATTACGGCTAAGGAGTCCACTGACAACATGGGCATTGAGCCGCAGCCTGTTTTTCATCAGGTTTTGATCTCATAGAACATCTCACAACGTTCTTCGCACAACGGTTAAAACAGCGCGACAAAAAAACTAACGCTAGAGGCTACCTAGGTACTTTCGGCCAATATTCATACAATCGATACGGTAATTATCGGCAATTTGCAGTTATCAAGTCATATCTGTAAAGTCTCCGTTGTTAAACAGGTAGATATGTCAGGGCAGCAGGTGACTCCAAGTCGACCATATGCTATGAACACACAAAGTGAGCATAACGGTCGCGAAGCCAAAAAATGCCCGTGGTTCACTCGAGTACGCCAATATGACCTAGCCATCCTATCGAGGGTTCTCTGAAAGAAGAAAACCAGAAACTGGAGGTTGATTATGCGTTCAGAGGTATTGTTATAAAAGTGTGATGAGGAAGCAAAAAAAGAAAAAAGACCAGCTTGTCGTCAAAATGGGCGAGTTTCGCTAGGTTGAATTTGGAATTCACGTGATATCCGGAAATACTTTCGGGCCGGCGAATCAAGCTAGGCAAAGTGTTTAAAACCTCTTCCTCTTCGGTTCTGCTTCTGTTCAACAATTTTTTATTTTTATTTTCTTTATCCTTGACTTTCTGAGTATTGTATTCCCTGCCTCATGGAGGCCAGTAATGATTCTGATGACGATTCTCAGGTTTAATGATATTGCCTGACTATTTTATGCATTTTCAAATACCCATCTCATTCCATTCCATTCCATTCTCCTCCCGCAGCTGGTTGCTCAATTTTTGTTCATTTTCGTTCCTTATTCATTCCCCTTCCACAGCAATTCTCAATACGATTACGGCGCTAACTCCCGGGGGAAAATGACACGGGGTTGATTAAATGCCATCCTAAGAAATGGAGCAGCTCGCCAGGAAATGTTGAGGGATGAAAAAAAGAAAAAAAAAGAAAAAAAAGTAAAAAAAGTAAACAAACAAAATATCCCCACCCATCACACTCAAAAACCACAGCATTGCCAGCATCATG